TTTGTATTTTAGGGAAGGGTCTACAGGGTGTTCATGGTCTCACTACTAGATGGACTCATAGTAATCTGCCTGTTCACAGCCTCCCAAATGCTGGGATTACAGGCGCGTGCCACCACACCCAATCTCAATTGCCTTCACAGCACACCTGGGGACGGGGCCAGCACTTCAGGCCCGGGGAACCCCCAGCCCCTGCACCTGTGCCTGCTGGCAGGTGCTTTAATGCACTGAGCTATTTGGCTGGTCTCATAAATAATAATTTTTAGATATTGCATTTCAATTCTAAGTAATACTCATACCCTTAGGGGACTTCCATTAACTAAAACCCCAAAGAAAATTATATTCTTTCCAACATTAATGCTGCCTGTTCATGGATAGAACATATATGCCTTGGAGGGCTTTCTTATAGCATATTGTGTTTATCACGTGGGAGTAGTGGAGGTGATGGGGCGGTCAAAGGACACAAAGTTAAAGATGAGCAAACCCAGATGAGGATCCTGGGATTGACATGCAGTAATGAAAAAAAATCAAAAGATGGAATGAATCTGACACAAGGATCATAGCTATTAACAGTGTATTGTATCAGCAAGTCTTCACCCAATGAGGAAGGCAAGATGAGCATTGGCAAGGGGCCCAAGCTGAAAAGCTTTCCTTCCTGGTTTCTGTCATTCCTGAACAATATACTACCATAGTTATTAAGATTCTGTGTTTACCCGGGGTGGGACAGAGAAGAAATGATGGGCATGGTCATCCGTGAGCTGTATTGTCTTAGAAAATCACTTCATCTTCCTATACAGTTTCTTCATTTGTTTCCAGCCCTTACTCTACAAGCTAGCTCCCTTCATTCTCTCAGAAATAAAGCTAAGCAAATCAATATTAATTTATATTAATTTATGATGTTTTCCAGGAACTTAAAATTGCATTTTGCAAGTTAGGCTTTTTTTTTTTTTTTTTTTTTTTCCCCGAAACCAGGGGATTGAACTCAGGCCCTTGCACTTGCCAGGGAAGTGCTTATTCTACTGAGCCATCTCCCCAGCCCAAGTTAGGCATTTTTAAAAAAACTATATATGATAGCTCTCTCTGCGACAGAACTCTATTGTGGCACCATGGATACCACGTTAAAATAGCACATGTATTTACTTGTAAATGATTTGTTCATACTTTTAATCACTTAAAACCTAAAGTTTGAGTTCACACTATGATTTTAGGTTCCTTTTTAGAAAATTGATTCTGAGAAACAGTATGAGCACAGCCTAAATCTGTGAAAAAACGTTTGCTTATCACAACATACTTTTTAAAGAAAACAATAATTCTAGCCTTTATTTTACTTAATTTCATATTTACAAACCTTATGTTTCTGAAATATAATAAAAAATAGTTTTTCTATAGAAGTCAGGATGTGAGGAATCTACTTTTTTGTAATATGAATACATGTTATATACATCTTTCAAATTAGGTTTTGCATTTTTTTTCTAGTTTGAATCCTTTGACACCTTCTTTTAAGAAAATTGTCTACAGAGAGTATGAACCATATTTTAAGAAAGAAAAACCACGATCTAACATTTCAGGTAAGCCTAAAGTGTATTTTTAAAGATAAATTTCTATGTATAATATGGTATTCATTTGTATCTAAAATATCCTTTGTGTGTTGTTTGTAGCACTTGTTGGCTATATAATGTATGCACAGTGAGAAAGTGGGGCCCTGCGTTCATATTGTCGAAAAATTTTAATCGGTGATAGTACTACATTAAGCCAAATGGTGGACCTTCTGTACATGGGACCCTGCGAAACCACACAGGTCACTTATCCACGAAGCCAGTGAGGGTATTTAATCTTGGTCAACATAGTTAAACAAGACTTATGGTGGTACAAGTTTGTCACCCCAGCACTCTGGGAGGCTGACACAGGAGGATCACAGTTCCGGCCTACCCTAGGCAATTTAGTGACTTAGTGAGACCCTGTCTCAAAAAGTAAAAACGGGCTTGTGATGTAGTTCAGTGTGAAGATCCTGGGTTTGGCCTGCAGTAAGGACAAAAATCAAAAGATGGAGTGGACATGACACGAGGACTATGGTTGCTGACTGAGTCTGTAGCCATTCATCCGAGAGGCCACTGTGCACTGCACTGTGCCACAGTATTGAATTTGGTACTATAGATGCCACGGTGGACCACACAGACCCCGACCCTGCCTTCTTGGGGCCTGGGTTCCAGTTCAGTGGGCCTTAACAGCGTCAGGTTCTGTTTCCATCTGCCTGCCTAGACTTAGGCAAAGGGACTATGTACTGTGCTTCTTTGACGCTCCCTTTCCCGTCTCCTCTGCTGATTAGTGTGAGGAACCAAAGAGCTGTGAATTTTAAAGAAAATACTTTCATTTTGTGTCACCTTAACCTTAATCAAAGAAACTAAATTGAGTAGGATTTTAGGAGCTTAACTTTGGGAAAATATTTCATAGGAATGACAGAGGCGACCAAAAGAGAACTCCAGCTGGGGCTTTTTGTCAGTAGTTCACTCACTCTTGCCCTCTCCAGGGCCTCACACCTGTCATCTTTCCCATACTAACCCTCCACCTTTCCTATTCCCCTCAGTATCCCACATCTAATGATCACCTACAATCTGCAACCTTTCCTCAACTTCTCTTCAGTCACAAATTAATAGTAAAGGCACACTTAAGGGTATAGGCTTACAATCCCAGAAGTCTGAGAGGCTGAGGCCAGAGGATTGGAAATCTGAGCCCAGCCTGGACAATTTAGCAGTTTAGCAAGCCCCTGTCTCAAAGGAAGAGTGAGAGACAGACAGACAGACAGACAGACACAGAGACGCAAAGAAAGGGAGATACAGACAAAGAGAGAGACAGACAGAGAGGGAGGGAGGAAGGGAGGGAGGGAGAGACAGACAGACAGACAGACCTTCAGACAGAGAGAGACAGAGACAGAGACAGATGGACAGAGACACAAGAAGAGAGAGACAGACAGAGACAGAGACAGAAATACACAGACAAAACAAGACAAGACAGGACAGGCTGGAGATGTAGCTGCAGGCAAAACTCTGGGCTCAGTCCCCAGGACCAGAAATAAAAAAGTCAGCAAATCAAAAGCCATGTATGTTCAGGTAAATCCCTATATTTGGAGAGGAAAAAATAAATTCACCTTGACCCTACTCACCTTTTCCTTTTCTCAGTTTCCGTCCTTCCTACATCCTCTCCTTGCATTCCTTCCCTCTATTTTAATGTGACTAGTGCACTAAAATTACTATCCTAAAAGGGTGTTGATGATCCCTGAGGTGCCCCCCCCCCACTCCTCTCCAGTTCTTTCACCATTCCTGAGATGCTTAGCACTTTCCTTTCTGGAAAATCTCTGCCTGCTTGGCCTACTGTCACTTCCCCTGGTTTCCTTCTGACCCCTTAGCCATTCTTCTCCATTTCCCCACTGGCCCTTCTTCCCCCAGGCTCCATCCTCCACCACCACAGTGCTTTTGCACCTCCCTACCCAGATCGATGTCCTTTCTGAAGCTGCACTAATTGCTACCCACTCACAGCAGGAACAACTCTACCTCTTCTGTTTGCCTCCAGTACTGAGTAAACTATCTCCTACTTGTTAGGGATGTTGTGAAGATCAACTGAGTTAACATACAAAGTACTTACAAGAGTACAAACACATAATAAGCACTCAATATAAGTTAGCTACATAAAGGCCAGAGAGATAGCTCAGTGGACTAAGCACCTACTTAGGCAAGCACAGTCACTGGGGTTCAATTCCCAGTACCTTGTGCTGCCCAGACCCCACCCCCAGGCATGCTGAGCCAGTCATCAAGACCAGGTGTGGTGGCACAGGTCTGTAATCCCAGCGCTGGGGAGGTTGAAAACAGGAGGATCACTTTGAGTCTGATCTGCATAGTGAGGCCCTATACCACATACATTTTAAAAAAACAGATTAGCTACATTATTATGACCTTTGCTATTACAGTTATTAATCATACTTCCAGTAGATCATATGTATCTTTTGTAGATAGCTACATACCTATATTCCATCATTTATATATTCACTTATCCTTTAAGTAAATATACTTTCAAATATTCTTTTCTTTTTCAAAAAAACCTGTTTTGAGAACAATTACATTATAGACTCAGGGCTACAAAAGAGCAAGGCCTGGACTCTGAATTCTAGGAGCCACCTGGCTACTGGAAATGACTTACAAATAGTTGTAGCACAGTGACAAAGAAAAACTATGAAAAGAGGCTACAGTGGGACATAGGAGACCTATCTCCAGTCTAGTGGCCACAATGTCTTCCCACATTGATAGCTGAAAAAATAAATAAATAAAAAAGAGTAGGACCTTGGAAAGCCAAAGTATTAGGAAGAGTGGAGATGTATTTGAGACCAAGAGAGCAGCTCTGTGTCCAGATTTGGGGTTTGAGATGTCTGTAAAGAATATTCTTAGCGGGCTGGGGAGATGGCTCAGTAGAGTAAGTGCTTCCCTGGCAAGA